TGTTTATTTTGAGAAAGAGACAGAGCATGTGCATGGGAGGGGGCAGAGGGAGAGAGAGAGAAAATCCCAAGCAGGCTCTGCACTGTCAGCACAAAGCCTGACCCCGGGCTTGATCCCACGAACTGTGAGATCATGACCTTAGTCAAAATCAAGAGTTGGACGCTTAGCTTAACTGACTGAGCCACCCAGGCACTCCAGTGGAGAGAGCTCTTAATCAGACTTCCTGCATCCCTGCCTTACACCAGCATAAATGCGTCCTGGACCAAGAGCAGACATGAAAGATGTTAGCACATGTGTGTGCCTCACAGTGCTGTCCATGCAGTGGGCAGTAGTGGTTAGTAAACACTTGAGTGAGCAAGCGAAGAGTGACGTGGGCAGTAGGTCCAGGTCCCTTAGATATGGGTGTTGATTAGAACATGACCTCACCTGACTGCATTCCCCTTCACTGACTTGGAAAGACATCCCTATGAATTGTTGGAAGGAAGCAAGTGGGGACATCGTGTAGTACATGCAGTCCTGATTCTGTCAGATTTCACATTCACCTCTTATTTGTGAGGTGAGGTCAGAAGGTTGAGTGTACCAGAAGGTTAAAGGCTGCCTTATTTGCTCTGCTACTGTTGATTCTTGCAAAGAGGCGCCACCTGCCTCTCAGTAGCTGGGAGCTAACACTCAGATTCCTCATCTGTAAAATGGGACCATCAGAGAGTTCTGGTCTGCTCATCTTTACCGCAGTCTCTGCCCCTCAGCACTGCCCACATCGGTGTGTCCCGAGCACTGTGGGGCCTCAGCAGCCTCCCCAGCCCCACCGACCCCAGGTGTGGCAACCACAGATGTCCCTGGACATGGCCAGATGTCCCCCAGGGGGACTTTTAAGTAACTGGAAGCCCCCAGCACAGAGTCTGGCATACTCACCAGCCAGGATTTTCCTTCTTCTCTACTGCTGAGGGCATTATCGTGGTGTTTGCTCACCTGGGTTTTAAATTAAAAAAAAAAAAAAAAGTTGGACGCTTAAGTACCAAGCCATCCAGGCACCTCTCTCCCTGGCATTCTTATTCCAGGTACTCCTTCCCTTATATTTAAATTTAAGGCCTATCTAGTTTCTCCTTTCCTAGACCTTCTTCTGGCACAAGCAGTAGGTTACTTTATACAAAGATTTGACGTGATTTGGCTTCATCACAAGAGCTGCTGAGAGGATTTTTTTTTTTTTAATTTTTTTTTTTTCAACATTTATTTATTTTTGGGACTGAGAGAGACAGAGCATGAACGGGGGAGGGGCAGAGACAGAGGGAGACACAGAATCCGAAACAGGCTCCAGGCTCTGAGCTGTCAGCCCAGAGCCCGACGCGGGGCTCGAACTCACGGACCGGGAGATCGTGACCTGGCTGAAGTCGGACGCTTAACCGACTGCGCCACCCAGGCGCCCCTGCTAAGAGGATTTTAAGCTGACTTCCTACACTAAGGTGTATGACATTAGAGATTATTTCTCTCTCGTGCATAGACACATTGTTAGCTCCTAGAACAGTACTTGGTATTTTAGATGGTCCTGAACAACTGAGTGAAAGAGTGAATCATTTAATTCTATAAAGAGTTTATTAAAAGACTTGGGATTGTTCTTTCTCTGAGACTGATCTTTTCTGTAAAACATTTCTCTGAGTTAAATCTTGCAGAGTGGCAAGAGGTTAGTTTGGAAAAGAGGTGGAGAGCATTTCAGGCAGAAGCAGCAGCATGAACAAAGGCATGGGGCATGTGAATGGTGTATGTGCTTAGAGAAAAGCAGTGAGATAATTAATAACTCTTACCTTGTCATATGTCTCAGGTCACTCCAGCAAACCTAACATTTATAACACAGTTAATAGTGGTTATGATGATGGGTTCTGGGAATTGTTTACAAGTTTCTCTGCATGAGTAGATAAGAATTAGATATATAGGGGCGCCTGGGTGGCTCAGTCGGTTGAGCGGCTGACTTCGGCTCAGGTCATGATCTCGCAGTCCGTGAGTTCGAGCCCCACGTCGGGCTCTGTGCTGACAGCTCAGAGCCTGGAACCTGTTTCGGATTCTGTGTCTCCCTCTCTCTGACCCTCCCCCGTTCATGCTCTGTCTCTCTCTGTCTCAAAAATAAATAAACGTTAAAAAAAAAATTAAAAAAAAAAAAAAAAAGAATTAGATATATAAAATAAGTCCAGAATGGTAGAAAACCTTTAGTTGGGTTCTTTAGGTCCATAGTCTAATGAAAGTCCTCTTTGAAGCTGCCCTTTTTTTTTTTTAAGTTTATTTATTTATTTATTTTGAGAGTGGGGGAGCGGGAGCGGAGCAAAGAGAGAGGGAAAGAGGAGGAAAAGAGAAAAGAATCGCAAGCTTGGGACTGGGGCTTGATCTCAGGAACGGTGAAATCAAGAGCCAGATGCTTAACTGACTGAGCCAGTCCAGGCACCCCTGAAGCTGTCTTTGAATCCCAGACAGAGTTTACTGCTTGTTAATCTGTGTTCATGCAGTATATTATACCTTTCTCTGTTATATTTCCTTATTTTCATATTTCATTTGACTAATAACCCTGACTATGCCTTTAACAATTTCTAGGGTCTAACATGTAGTAGAGATTAATTAAAGTTTGATGGATAATTGAATGAATGGATGTTTGTACCCAGGGTTATCCATATTAAAGAGAAACTGTGTCACCTTCTTTATCCCTTTTCTTGTAGCTATTTGTAGTGGATGTGCAGACAAGCCAGATCACCAAGATTCCCATTCTGAAGGACCGGGACCCTGGAGGTGTGACCCAGCAGGGCTGTGGTATCCATGCCATTGAGCTGAATCCCTCCAGAACTCTGTTAGCCACTGGAGGAGACAACCCCAACAGTCTTGCCATTTACCGGCTGCCTACGCTAGATCCTGTGTGTGTGGGTGATGTAAGTTTCCCCAGTAATTGTAGTTAGAGGTAGCCTGTTTTTAAACAGAGCCTGCTAGGTAACATGGACCCTCCTCCCACATGCCCCCTGGGAAGGAATAGTTTCCCCTAGATTTCTGCTAACTCCAGGGGCATGGGGGTGGGGTGAGAGGGTAGAAATATCTGAATGGGGACTGAATTCCCCATAGAGAGTATCTGGTATTGAGAGTGTTGTTCAATAAAGCAGTGAGCAACACACCTCAGGGTCCAGCACCAGTGGATTTGTGTCTGAATCCACAATGTCTACATATCTCCCACTGCCCATAGTCAGAGAACAAAGTTTATTAAGTCATTCATTCAGCAACAACTGTTTATTGAGCTTTCTATGTCCAATCATTGTTTTGGACACTGGGGACATGCAATGAACAAAACAGATAAAGCCCCACACCTCGTGAAGCCTGTCTTCTAGTGGAGGGAGACATATAAACCAATATATAAACCAATAAATATTTACCAGCAGTATGTCGGAGTGTGATAAGTGCCATGGAGAAGTGTAAAGGCAGATTAAGGGGATAGAGAGAGTTGGAGAATGCTATTTCAGAGGATGGTCAGAGAAGTCCTCATTGATAAGAATGACATTTAGCAGGGAGACATAAAGGAAATGAGAGTACAAGTCATGTTGATGTCTGGAGGAAGAGAGTTCCAGACAGAAGGAACAGCAAAGAGGTCAGTTATAGCTCTTGTACCAGGAAGGTACAAGAGGAGAGTGGTAGGATGAAATTAGGGAGAGAAAAGGTAGGTGATTATGTGTAGGAGCCCCAAATAAGACATCCAGAGGTGGCAGGCCAGAGCGGTGTGTCCACCAGATATGTTCATTGCCCATGGGAATGCCGGTTTTATTCCAGCTTTGAGCTCCTCAAGACAGAAGTTAAAAATTGTGGGATCCTGCCGTATGGGTTAAGATGATCAGAGATCACTTTATCAGTTTTACAAAGATATTTTCAGTCAGACTGTATGCTTTTCAAGAGTATACATTGTAATCCTTATTTTACTAATTTATTTTTTTCCCCTCTCTCTCTGTACCTGTCTGTCACTTCTTCCTCTCCAAGGATGGACACAAGGATTGGATCTTTTCCATTGCATGGATCAGTGATACTATGGCGGTATCTGGTAAAATTACCCTTTTGTATGGAGTTTTGTGTGGCAGGGAGGGAGGGAGGGAGGCTAGAAATTGAAAAGGGGTAGTAGTGCGATTGGAAATAGCCCAGTAAACAGACCATCAGCCAGGGGCCAGGAGATCTTATTTCCAATATTGGCTCTTTCTCTTACTTATCATGTGTCCTTGAATAAGTCATTTCCCCTGTATATTCCTGATCTGGAAAGTGGAGTTTTGCTGGCATTCTTCATTTATTATTCATATTCCTCTTTGTTCCCCAAAAGTATGTGTGATGGCATGTTAGCCTCAACATTTCTGGGGTACTTCATTGTGACAATGGTTGTGAAAGTTTTTGGAAAAGTTGATGTGAAGTATTAGGAGCAGTTATTTTCTGTACAATTATATAAAGTGCTTCTTATTGATAAAAGTTGTATAGAATTGGGGGAATTTCTTGGGGCGCCTGGGTGGCTCAGTCAGTTAGGCATCCGACTTCGGCTCAGGTCATGATCTCACACTCCGTGAGTTTGAGCCCCGCTTTGGGCTCTGTGCTGACAGCTCGGAGCCTGGAGCCTGCTTCAGATTCTATGTCTACCTCTCTCTGACCCTCCCCCGTTCACGCTGTGTCTTTCTCTGTCTCAAAAATAAATAAACATTAAAAAAAAAATTAAAAAAAAAAAAAAGAATTGGGGGAATTTCTTTCCCAGGGGTAGATGTCAGAAAAAAACACAGGGAAATTAGTGTAGAGAAGATAATAAAGAGATACACAAATGCTTTCCGGATACCCACAGCAGCCTACAAAGTAGGCTGAGAGTGCTACAGTTTTGCTGGGTACCCATATGTAAAAATCCAATCCCCAGTTCTAGATTCCCAAATAAAAATAATCATAATGGTTGCTAAATTAAGTACCTCATATCTGTTATTTCTTATAATTCTCAGAATAATACTAAAAGGTTTGCATTATTAGCCTCATTTCACAAATGAGAAACTTTATATTCTGAGAGTTTATTATAACTTGCCAAAGGCCACATGAATAGTGACAGATGGACTCAGGATCTGAATCCAGGTCTGATTTCAAAGCCCATGCTTAGAACTGCTACTAACAAAGCTCAGGGAACATAAATATTTCCTCTTTCAATTCTTCACAAGGCAATAGAAAGCAGCCAAGAAGGAAGATGAATCTAATGAAGAAACATAGTTACAGGTCAGAATTACCCAGGAGTGGTTCAGAAGCTTTTGAATTCCCTGTCATTTGCCTCCCTGGGGAATGAGAGCTGTTTGAAGGCAGAGGCCGAGCCCTGTCATCTTTATAACAGGGATTGCCTGTATGACAGTAACCTGCACTAAATGTTGTTGGGAGCCAGGACTTGGCTTTGCTTTGGGAGCCTCTCATCTCTCCTTGAGATACCCTGCCAACATCCTATGTTTTCAGGCTGCTAACTCCCAAGTCTACATTTTCTGAACAGTATAGCAGGTTTTAAGAACATGGGCTCTGAGGGCACCTCGGTGGCTCAGTTGGTTAAGCACCTGACTCTTGATTTTGGCTCAGGTCGTGATCTCATGGTTTGTGGGTTCAAGCCCTGTGTCAGGCTCTACATGGGCAACTTGAACCCTGCTTGGGATTCTGTCTCCCTGTCTCTCTCTGCACTTCCCCCACTGACACTCTCTTTGTCTCTCTCTCTCTCTAAAATAAACGTTTTTATAAAAAGGTCATTGGTAGGATTAAATGAAGTAATACATAGTTGCTGCTGTATTAAAAATGCCCAATACTTGTTAACCATTGTTAATGTTCAGCTTGATGATGAATATCAACCCCTGAACATTCCACCTCAGACTCAGCACATTCATACTCATCATCTTCCAAGATCCCCTCCTCTCCAAGGACATATATTTGTGAATGCTCCCACCTTCCACACAAAGGTGCACAGCCAGAAAACTAAAACTCCTCTTAGGGTCTTCAGTCTCCTTAGATTACCAAGCCATGTTTATACTGCTTTTTAAAGCATGTCTTATAAACATTGTATGTCACCTATACTTAAATAATTAAAAAAAAAAAACCCTCTTATATACAATTTCTTTTTTTTTTTTTTTTAACGTTTTATTTCTTTTTGAGACAGGGAGAGACAGAGCATGAACAGGGGAGGGTCAGAGAGAGGGAGACACAGAATCTGAAATAGGCTCCAGGCTCTGAGCTGTCAGCACAGAGCCTGACGTGGGCCTTGAACTCACGGACGGTGAGATCATGACCTGAGCCGAAGTCGGCCGCTTAACCGACTGAGCCACCCAGGCGCCCCTACAATTTGTTTTCTATGCTAGAGTGCTCATCATCTATATCTTGAATTACCCCTAATATCCTTCCATATTTTCTCTCTGCTTCTGTAATTGTCTTCTCTAATCCAGTCTTCATGATGCTGCCCAACTAGTTCTTTAAATAATTTTTCTTTATTTTAAAAGTAATAGGTGTTAATCATAAGAAATTTTTAAAATATAGATAAACAAAAAGAAATAAGAACTACCCTCAATATCTCTACCCAGAGATAACTACTATTAATATTTTGAAATATAATATTAAAATAATAGTCATTTTTCAGTACATATTTTTAGTTGGTTAAAATGGATGAATGATGAATATATGGATAGATGTACCTACCAAGTATAATAAAATGTTGATAGAATACAGTTCATTGTAAAATTCTGTCAACATTTCAGTATGCTTGAATGTTTCATAATAAAACTTGTATAGTTTTTTGTTTTAATGTTTATTTATTATTAAGAGACAGAGCATGAGCATGGGAAGGGCAGAGAGAGAGGGAGACACAGAATCTGAAGCAGGCCCCAGGCTCTGAGCTGTTAGCACAGAGCCTGACACAGGGCTCGAACTCACAAACTGCGAGATCATGACCTGAGCTGAAGTCAGACACTTAACCGACTGAGCCACTCAGGCACCCCAAAACTTGTACAGATTTATTTTTTAATTTGCATTATAAACCATGCATAGTTCTTCGGATGTGTCCTTCTCTCTCTGGCCTTTTCTAGATTTCATATGTAATAATACCTCTGCTTTGAATCCCTGTCCATAAGCGTTATGATGCAAACAAATTGGTGGCACCTGGCTGGCTCAGTCTGTAAAGCATGTGACTCTTGATGTCGGGGTTGTAGGTTTGAGCCCTGTGTTGGGTGTAGAGATTTCTTGAAAATAAAATCTTTAAAAGAAAAGATGCACACAAATTGGATGGTATTTCTCTCATGTTAGATAATTTTTACTATGAAACATTCGTGAGATTTGCAATATGGGAAGGATATCTTCTAGTCTAAAGGAGAGTTGGCAAATAACTTTACTGGAAAGGAATTTTAAAACATGATTTTTTTTTTTTGAAATTTATTTATTTTGAGAAAGAGTGAATGTGCTCGTGTGCATGCAGGCAGCAGAGAAGCAGAGAGAGAATCCCAAGCAGGCTCTGCACTATCAGTGTAGAACTCAGTTTGGGGCTTGAGCTCATAAACTGTAAATCATGAACTGAGCCAAAATCAAGAGTGGACGCTCAACAACTGAACCACCCAGGCACCCCTAAGACGGGATTATTTTTTTTTAATATTTCTTTGAGAGAGAGAGAGAGAGAGAGAGCAGGGGAGGGGCAGAGAGAGAGGGAGACACAGAATCCGAAGCAGGCTCCAGGCTCTGAGCTGTCAGCACAGAGCCTGACGTAGGGCTCGAACTCATAGACCTCGAGATCACATGACCTGAGCCGAAGTCGAACGCTTAACCGACTGAGCCACCCAGGCACCCCAAAACAGGATTTTTTTTAATGGTTTTTGATTTTCTATTTTATGACTATAACACAGCCTTATTCTTATAGGACATACAGATTGTTCTGAATAAACATCTTTTTGTATGTGTCTTATGATAGTGCATTATTCCTAGATGGGAACACACACTTTCTGGTTTTTGCTGCAGATGCTCAGTTGTCCTCCAGAAAGATGGTCCCATTTAAGCTTGCCACCAGCAATGTATTCAGGGCTCAGTTCAAAGAAAAGTGTTTTTAGTTTTTTAAGTGCTTCATTATTGTCTGCTAAGGAAAACTATGTTTTTAAGTATTCATTTTCTGCAGAATGCTCATCCTTTTTTTTTTTTTTTTTAAGTCATCTCCACACCCAACATGAGTCAAGAGTTAGTAGCATGCTCTACTGACTGAGACAGCCAGGTGCCTCGAACTTGCATTCTTTTTTTAAAGGTTTTTGTTTTTTGGTTTTTTTTTTAAGTTTATTTTTGAGAGGGTGGGGAGGGGCAGAGAGAGAGGGAGACACAGAATCTGAAGCAGGTTCCAGGTTCTGAGCTGTCAAGCACAGGGCTCAATGTGGGGCTCAAGCCCACAAACTTTGAGATCATGACCTGAGCCAAAGTGGGATGCTTAACCCATTGAGCTGCCCAGGTGCCCCCAAACATTCTTAATATGGGAATTATGGTCCCTATAGGTCCATGGAAAGCCTTCAAGAGGTTCATGAACCTCCCTAAAATTGAATGTACAATGTGGTATTTTGTGTAGTTTTCTAGAGAAAGGGGTTTTTAACATTCCTAAGTCTCTCAGAGGCATACAAGACTCAGAAGACATTAAGTACTGTTGCTCTAAGGTGGAGGTTCCCAAACTCTACTGCCCAGCAGACATCACCTGTGCATGCCCAAGTGACCTAAGCATTTGGCTTGGAAAATTACTGAGCTTTCTCAAACTATAATTCTCTTGAAAAATCTCACCAATGGTTAAAGGTTATATTATAACTCCTATACCTTAGTTGAATCATCCTTTTGATGTAACTATTAAAATGTATGCTGTTCTGTTTTGTGCTGGGCCACCTGACCAAGCTACATATGAGGATGATGCCCAGAGAGCTAGACTAAGAAAACCCATCTTGGTTTCTGTAGGACTGTTCCATAGAGATTTGAGTATGTCTGACATCTGTGGTTTCCTTGCTCTGTAGGCTCACGTGATGGCTCTATGGGACTCTGGGAGGTGACAGACGATGTGTTGACCAAAAGTGATGCAAGGCACAATGTGTCACGGGTCCCTGTGTATGCTCACATCACTCACAAGGCCTTAAAGGACATTCCCAAGGAGGACACAAATCCTGACAACTGCAAGGTCCGGGCTCTGGCCTTCAACAACAAGAATAAGGTATGACCTTGCCAAAGAGGAAGCCTATTCCTCTTGCTTCAGCTTCTTGGCTTAAATCTTGTAAGATTCACTTCCCTTCTCTTTCCAAGTCAGTCCTTGTAACATAGCTTAGTTCTGAGCCTATGGAGAATTGAAGGCTGAGGGACACTGGTGAGAAATTCTGAGATTATAAAACCCATCCCTTGCCTTGAGCTCTGCAGTATTTCTCTGGATGTTCCATATTTGTAGGTCAGCCTCTCAGAGTTTCCCCAGGGCCACTCTGATTTGACTGTCTCTCATTTGCACATGCCTTTGCAAGTGCTCTATTTTGGGTGTGATTTTCATATGTGCCTCTGAAAATGATAACTTTTTTGTCTTTGGTATTCAGGTTCTTTTCATTCTTCACTGCCTCTTATCAACACTCCCAGCAGGTCTTACCTAATCATTGAGTCAGATCTGAAACTGGCGGTATTGAATGTTAGGGTGGAGACTCAGAGCCAGAAGAGGAGAAAAGCTCCCCAAATCTGAATCAGGCCACATTTGAAAGATAGTTCCCTTAGCCTCCTATCTCCTGTCCATAGTTATGGCTTAGAGGTAGATTTAGATCCTCCAATCATAGAAGCTTTCACACTGAGATTTATGAAACTGTCCTTCATGTGTGTGCTCTGCTATAACTATCCAACGAGATGTCATGGGAATGATTACATAGTAGGAACTTTCTGAACCATAGGTATTTATATTACTGCTAGAACCTGGCTGGCTTCTTGAGTTCTCCCAAGAAGCAGCCTTGATTTAATATTCTATCCAGCTGCATGCCATAGAGTGAGATGATGGACTAACAATTAACAATCCCTGGCCCCCCCTGCTGGAATCCTCATGGGATAAGAATGAACAATGGGAGGACCCCAACCTTCAGGGTATTCCCCTGCTTACTATTGTATATTAGTTGCTACAGATTGAAATATAACCTATTTTTTTCATTGCTCTTGTAGGAATTGGGAGCAGTGTCTCTGGATGGTTACTTTCATCTCTGGAAGGCTGAAAATACACTGTCTAAGGTGTGATGAACATGACTTAGTGGTTTTACCTAAAAATTTACCTTTTGGTTAAAATACTCTCCCTAAGCCTTTTCATTCTGTCTAAAGCATCAGTTTTCCAAGGGTCTGGCCATGTTATTGCACAGTGCATGGAATTCTGAGTCTGATGTGCCTCTTTTAAGTCTTTTAAAGAGATCAGAGGTGGTGATTCTTTCACATTGCAAGGACTTACTGAAAGACTCCTTAAACTAGCAGTCCTCCAATCCACAAGGCATTTAAGTATTTGGTTATGGATTATTGGCCATTTGGCATGTCATAAGGGCAGGAGAACCTAAAAGTTAGGAATCACTGGCAACTGAAAATTAATTAAACTAATATAAACCATCTTTGAAATAATAGGTAATGAGAAGATTTACAATCTTTACAAGCAACTTTTGCATAAAGTCAAATCTGTCTGTGGGTTATTTGCCCTCTTCTTGTCCCAGAGGCCTTTGCTGCCTATTACTTCTGTGATAGACTCGTCCTCAAGAAGAAGCAGAGCTTCAGGAATTACTGACTCCTTCATCTGAAGCAGCCTTTGAGCTCCGCTGACCTTGCTTGGTGCCTTACATGCAGTTGGCACCTGCTGAGGACTGACTCAAGGGTTAAGGCTGACTGGTGTTCCCTAGGGTTGAGCCAGGCCCATGAGTGTGCTTTCTGTAGTGTACAACTCTCATACAATTGGGAACCTAGGCTGAGGATAGCCAGAAATTAGCCCCTTTATCTGAAGAGTAGTGAGGAGGGTGGTGGCAGAGAGGGTGCTGGCAGAGAACACAATGTGACCTTGGCTTTAGTGCCCTGGGGTTACCCCTGGAAATAACCTGTAGGTCTAGGCTTTTCTGCTTCTGATTATTTAATTCCAGCTTAACCTTTTTTCCCCTAATCAGTCCTCTTCAGTATTAGATCTTATTTCTTATTAACAGTCACCCTCTCTTTCTCTTATTTACTTAGGGGTGGAACAGGGCATTATTTCCTTAATCAGGGCTTGTCCTTTTGTCTCTGACTTTGTGTGGCTTGTGTATGAAGGAAACCCACACAGGTGGGCATCTAAAAACAGTGCCCTATAGTACACTCTCTGGTATTGCCATGGGTGCATCATTTCCTCTCTCTATTTCAGCTCCTCTCCACCAAACTGCCATATTGCCGTGAGAATGTGTGCCTAGCCTATGGTAGTGAATGGTCGGTGTATGCAGTGGGCTCCCAAGCTCATGTCTCCTTCTTGGATCCACGGCAGCCATCATACAACGTCAAGTCTGTTTGCTCCAGGGAGCGAGGCAGTGGTAAGAGTCCTGGTATGCCCCTGAGGCTTATAACTGCATTGCAGATGAGTTTTGACTTTCAGTTTCTGTGTTGATTTCCAAACAACAATCGTGATCTTTATGGAACCTGGTGTTTGGTAACACATGGAGGGAGCTTAAATACTCACAGATGGCAACAGAGCTTCAAACACCACAGACAAATTTGTGGCCACAGAAGCCTCAGTGGAAACCAACAGTCAGGATATTGGTGGTTTTCTTATTTCTTCATAGATCTTGACTTTCTGCCTTGTGGTAGTTTTTTGCTGGTGCCCCATCTGAACTGTAAAAATCATTTTATGCCAAGGGATGATGTACAGTGAGGAGTTTACAGAGGGCATGAGGAAACATTTGAGGGTGATGTATATATTAGTTATTTTGATTGTGGTGATAGTGTCATGGGTATATACATATGTTAAAACTTCAGATTGTGATTTTAAATATGTACAGTGTATTGTTTGTCAGTTATACCTCAGTAAAGCTGAAGAAAATAGTTTAGTTCTGATCACTGGGTGAGTTGTAGCTTCAGCCTCCCATCTTTTATAGCATATTTTCTCTGAGAGCACTCTTTCTTTATCAAGGAATAAAAAGATTATGTTTGTGCTGTCCTTTAAGATTTCAGTATATCTTTATCTGACATGTTATGTCATCTTACCTAGAACCCTGTAAAAAGCAGGTAGGAAAAGGTAAGGTTAGTGTTAATAACTCTGTTTTATAGATGAGGTGACTGAGACTCAGAGCATTTAAATTCCATGCTCAGTATCTTCTGGATTGGTGGAAGAACAGCCAGGGACTAGAATACAGATTATTCAAGTTAACAGAGTGTATTTTCTTCATCTCACTTTGTTCCCCTTCTCATGCAAAAATGTAGCTACATTATCCTGGGAGTCCTAAAAGGCACAATAAGAATTACAGTTTAGCCTCTTTCTTTCAAGAAGTGTTTATTTTCATTCAGATATTGCAAAAGTGGCTTTTGTTTGGGGTTTGTTTTCAATTTTAGTTAAGATGCTCATGTTTCAGTGCAGAGAGAATAATGTGTGTAAGGAGAGTTTTAAGGGTAAGAGTGATTAGGGTTGGCTGGAATGATGTCTGCAATGAAAAGCTTTAAGAGGGGCGCCTGGCTTGGTGGGTGGAGCATGTGACTCTTGATCTTGGTGTTGTGGGTTCAAGCCCCATGTTGGGTGTAGAGATTAGTTAAAAAAAAATTGTGTTTAAGTTTTAGGGGTACCTGGGTGGCTCAGTTGGTTAAGTGACCGACTCTTGATTTTGGCTTAGGTCATGAGACTCATGTCGGGCTTCACTCTGAATGTGGAGCCTGCTTGGGATTCTCTCTGTCCATCTCTCTCTCTCTCTCTCTGCCCCTTCTCTGCTCTTTCTCTCTCTCTCAAAATAAATAAATAAACATTTTTTAAAAATTAAAAAAAATGAGGGGCGCCTGGGTGGCTCAGTCGGTTAAGCATCCGACTTTGGCTCAGGTCATGATCTCACGGTCCGTGGGTTCGAGCCCTGCATCGGGCTCTGTGCTGACAGCTCAGAGCCTGGAGCCTGTTTCGGATTCTGTGTCTCCCTCTCTCTCTGACCCTCCCCCGTTCATGCTCTGTCTCTCTGTCTCATAAATAAATAAATTTAAAAAAAAAAAATGTTGAAAAAATTTTAAAAAATGAGTCTTAAAAAAATAAAGCTTTAATAAGATATTTTGGTTACTGTTACAGGAGTAGCTTTCATAACTAATAAGAAAATACTGATTCCACAAATATTATCAAGCACTTCCTATGTGCCAAGAGACATCTTTGTACCCCATGCACTTCTTTGATCCACAGACACAGTACCAGATAAAGACCTCTTGCAGTGTCAGATAGGGGTTTTAGGTCAGATAGGAAGAAGTCCTTATTAATATAATGATATATAAATATGCAGGTTACCCTGTTTCAGTACAGGTTTGAAACACAGTGAAGAAGTTATGAGTTTACATATAACAGTTTAGAGTTATGAAAGATGACTCCACAGTAAGTCTAGGGGAGGCAGGAAGGTTCAGGGCACAGTTAAGGTCTTAGGCTAAAAGATCTTAGGCATCATTTGGTCTCTGGCACTTCCCTAAGGTTTATGGGAAGGTCCCTGTTAGTGCATGGATTGGCAGTGTGGCATCAGCATTCTAAGGCTTTTGCGTGAGATATACCTGCCATGGGAAAGGCACTGTCTGGTATGTGGGTGCCATGTGAACTCAGTGCTGGAGACATTCAGGTAGTCAGACCATCAAGTGCATATTCTCCCTACTCATTGCCCTTTCCTTTTTTCTCTCTCAGGGATCCGGTCAGTGAGCTTTTATGAGCATATCATCACTGTGGGCACAGGGCAGGGTTCCCTGCTGTTCTATGACATCCGAGCTCAGAGATTCCTGGAAGAGAGGCTCTCAGCTTGTTATGGGTCTAAGCCCAGACTAGCAGGGGAGAATTTGAAACTAACCACTGGCAAGGGCTGGCTGGTGAGTAAGACCGTGCCTGACATGGTTACTGAACAGTGACAGAAAAATTGTCTTCAGTCTGCCCATCTGCTCCCACCCCCACTGATAACACCAGCTAGTCACATACTTTTTCACTGGTAAGAGGTACTCCTTAGAGCAGAGAAAGGCACTTTCCCTTGATTTTGCTTCTGCGTCTACATGTTAATGGGAAAACTGAGGCCCAGTAAGACACACTAATTGATTTAGGATTGCCCCCAGGTGATAATAGAGCAGAAGGAAGGAACCCCCCCCACCGTAGCCGCTACTGAATTATTATTGAAGTGTTTGGTCCCAACTGTCCTGAGAAGACCTTAGGTTTGTATAGCAGTTCTTCAGCCTGTTCCCTTTTCCCTAATGTTCATTTGGAAAAATGAGGCTCCAGTTCCCATGAGCACTAGTCTCCTGACATCAGGTTAGATGCAAGACCCTCTCCTCTTAAGGAGACCAGAAGGAATTCCTGTCCCTTCCTATCCCCTTTTCTGCCCTATGGCCTAGAGGTGCTAACAATCTCTTTTTCTTCCCATAGAATCATGATGAAACGTGGAGGAATTACTTTTCGGACATTGATTTCTTCCCCAATGCTGTTTACACCCACTGCTACGACTCGTCCGGAACGAAACTCTTTGTGGCAGGAGGTCCCCTCCCTTCAGGGCTCCATGGAAACTATGCTGGGCTCTGGAGTTAATGACAACTAACTCTTTCCCAAAATGTAGAGATTTACACTAACTTCCATCCTTAGTTTCCTTGTTTCTTTTGATTTTCTTCCAATTGTTTGAGGCCCTCATTTTAGTGGGAACACGAGAGTTTGCCTATGGTTTAGGCACTTGACAGGAAGCTCTGTACAGAAATCTGAAGTGTTTTTTGTTGTTTTTTCCTTTTTTCGCTTTTGGTAATCAGAGTTTCTTCTGTCTTTTTTCTTTCTGGCTTCTCAACCAAACATTGTTAATTCTTATTTGTATTTTTTCTTTAAGTGACACACACTCTCCCCTCTCTGGCTTCTGGCAGAGGCTGGCATAGTCATTCTCACCCTTACTTCACTCTTGAGAGGTAGGGTTCCTTTATAATTATGTGGTTGCTGTCAGACTTTCTGTGAAAGTTTGGGGGCTGTCTTTGTGTGTGTGTGTGTGTGTGTGTGTGTGTGTGTGTGTGTGTGTGTGTGAGAGAGAGAGAGAGAGAGAGAGAGCGAGAGAGAGAGAGAAAGAGAACTTGTGTGCCTGCAAATACCGTGTGTCACTGAAATTACCTGGAGTAAGAATTACTTGTAATTAAAATATTTATAAAAGAAACAACTTTATTCACAGAGTCAGCTTTGGGACTAGTCTTTATCTTGTTTTTTTAAAGTCTAACAGCACTGATTATAGGAAGTAAAAACAGAAAGAAAAACAGTCACCACCAGGAAAACCCTTTGAGTTAGATGGCAGGCTTCCTGGTGACTTTCATGCCAGGACTCCAGGGTGATCCGTCCCCTACCTGTCTTCCCAACCTTGTGTTCCCCAGGTGAGAACACTTCTCTGTGTCCTTTCCATGTCATCGTTCCATCTACTGAGCCAGTGGCCACTCCCCTAAAACATCAGGGTTTCCAGATGCAGTTCTCGAGGCTGCAGAAGCATTGGTAGAACTTGGTAAAGAGAATCCCTATCCCAGTCTTCCTTTTCCTTCCCTCAAACAAGACCTGATATGGTATCTCAGGGGCCTGGAGCAGGGGGCCTTACATTTGCTAAGATTCACATACTCAGTCCCCTTGGCTTTGTGGAGAAACTTCTCCTTTGCCTTTCTTCTAATCTTGTGGGTTTTGCTTTGCTTTTCTAAATTAGGTTCAGTCCAGGAGGGTGGGGGTAAGCAGGGGGTTTATCTGTGTGTAGCGAGTGCTTCATGTGTGGAATGTTCATTTTCTTATTACAGTGGGGCTGGGGTTGAAGCCACCTCTCCCACTCTGTTGGCTTAGCCCCAGGGTGGTGGTGGTGGCCTAGAGCCAGCAACATTGTGCATGTAAAAGCATTGATGTGATTAGTAATTTGTTCCTCCCTTGAACTGTGTTTAGTCTGAGGTTTTGAAACTTGCAGGCAACTGACTGACCGTGATGTCCAGTTATTCCTTGCTTTTTACGCATCATGTTGCAGATAGCAGCTGTTCCCATCCACAAATTCCTCCTCCATTCTAAGCACATACTCTGCTTCTGTCAACAGCCCATCCTGGGGGAAAGGAAAAGTCTTATTTATTCCTGCACTCTCATTTCTAAATTGCTCTCCCAGTTATCCCCCTCTGCTCTGGGTGTAAGTGGGGAGATGGAAAAAAAGAGTGCCTTCTCCTTGGTAATGGGGTCTGGTGGGGGAGGAGACAGCAAGTCCACCCTATCTTGGTTATACAAGGCACATACCACAGTTTCTAGAATTCTCATCTTCTAACCTAGAGAAATAGGTGCTATAAACAGGAATTAAGTAAAATGCTGGATACTATAGATCTTTTAATTGTCTTAATTTTTTTTCTATTCTTAAACTACAGGCTGTAGATTTCTTAGTTCTCACAGAACTTCTATCATTTTAAACCAACTTGTATATTAAAAAAAAAAAAAAAAAAAAAAAAAAAAAAGATCTTAAGTAGGATGTTTTGTACTGTTGCCAGACCCTCTTCTGTGATGGGTAATACGTTTGATTGTTTGAGATTTTGTTTTTAAAAATGTAGCACTTGACTTTTTGCCAAGTAAAAAAATAAATATTATTCCAGTTGCAGAGTGGTTTGAGTAAATATGTATAGCCAAGAAGCAGTGGGGTAAAAGCCCCAAATGACTGGTTGAAAGTTTACCTTGGGGGGCTAGGATTGCTTGGAACAGAAGGGGAACACAAGAGTTCCCTCAAAGTTAAGGGCAAGTCAAGTACAATCACACGAACACTTAGACCTACTTGCTCCTGGTCCCCAGCCCTGGCCAAAGATCATTTATTCTGGGGTCCGGGTCCAGTTGAGGATGAATATGCCCAGGCAAGAGGACACAGTGACCAAGGTGAGTGATGCTCTTCCCAGATCTGGTTTGGGGGTGTACCTGAGAGAAAGGCAGACTGCTGAATTGTACCACCCTCCTCATCACCAATCCTGGAAGATTCATCGGGCTGGGCCACAGAGGCAGGCAAAGCAGTATATTCCTCTGTCTCAAGGCACTTGTTCCTCTCTAGACAAGCTAGATACAGCTGCCTTTTGCACCTACCTTGGAGACTGACTACAGAATAAAATTCATACAGGCATCTACCTATGTGATCAAAGGCCACAAAACAGGAAGGGAGAGGTGAATTAGTTGAGGCAATTAAGAGGGCTTCCTAAAGGAGAAAAACCTTTTCCAAAATGAAGTTTTTAGAATTTCCAATCCATGAGACAGTGATGGGTGTTTGCAAAATGTTCCTTGGTCAAATTATTTCTGGGAAATGCAAATGTAAACAAAGACATGCTTTTTCCCAACCTCAGGTTTTGGTTACTGTGGAACTTGGGTCCATGGAACATGCTCAGAGAAAGGTGATGGGATCTGAGGGGGGACCTGGCCTAGGCTTCGGGCCTCCATGGAATCTTGGCCCTGCTCCTATTTTCCAGCTAGACTTTCCAGCAAAGTATGTATCTCACAGAAAAGCTTTGTGGACTTTATAGGGTCCCTCCCTTTCCTGCCAGTCCCGATTCCCTTGCCATGAAAGAACTTCCTTGTTCTCCCTCAGGCCACATGCCTCGTTCCCCTGGTCTACTTGCTGCTCCCATCATCCTTGGGTCCTTTTACAGAAGGCTTTGGAACCTAATTTATGTTGAGTTCCCTACCCCGCAACTCCAAGAGTTGACTAGTATTAATCAGGCCTTTAGTAGTGTTTTATTTTTTAAAGTTCACCCATTTATTTTGAGAGCACCTGTGAGAGCAGGAGAGGGGCAGACAGAGAGGCACAGAGAGAGAATCCCAAGCTGGCTCCATGCCACCAGCACAGGTCCACCATGGGGCTTGAACCCAGGAACCATGAGGTCATGACCTGATCTGAAACCAAAGGTCAGGCCCAACTGACTGAACCACCCAGGTGCTCTTTTTGTTCTGCTTTTTTAAAAAAAGTAATCACCCCACATGGGGCTCAAACTCACGACCCCAAGATTAATATCAGGTCTTCCAACTGAGGCAGCCAGGCATCCCTGGCCTTCTGTGTTTCTAATTAAGCTGAAGACTCCCAGTCTAGCCTCTCTGATCCAACTGCTATCCAGACAGTTCCTAGAGCGGGTACCCAGAAATAGCAAGTCAGGATGTCAAGACCCTTAGCTTAGCATTGGGGTCAATTGTAACAGTCAGCCAATGACCCAAGTGTTTTTTTTCTTTCCTTTCCAATTGGCTGATGTCTGGGAGCCAACAATGGGTGAGGTTGGGGGTGGCTGTCATTCAACGTTACTTGGTTTTAGCCACATCTCATTCATGCTAGTGTGCTGAGATGACTGGATGCTTTGGAAGGGTAGAAATATGGGCTAAGTCTGGAACCACCGATAAAGACAAAACAAAGTTTGAGTTTCTTAACTTGTTTTTTCTGCCCTTCAGCTCCTCCAAAAAATAATCCAGAGAAACAAATGTGAGAAATTTGTTTCTATACTACCACCAGAGAGAGGTGTGAACTGAACTGCTCAAGATGGGGTTGTAAGCTCTTCTGTTTCAGCGCTCCAAGACAGGGCTCTGAGCTGTCCTCTCAAATTCCTATTGGGTTGAGCCTCACATCTAAACACTCCTCTTGATTAGTGTGTAATTGCTGAAGTCAGAATTTTAAAAGGATAATAATACTCATTAACTGAACTCAGTGTCACATGTTTACTGCATTTCTTGTTAAGCACCATTCAGAGCTATAATTAACATCCCTACTGCTATGGACAAGAAGAAAACAAATGAACAGCTTCCCTCACTTGTAGCTACTTTTTTCTTAACTGGTGGCAGCTTGAACAGAGGACTGGAAATAATAAGACTCCGGGGTCAAGGCCATTGCCCATTGCAGAGAACACTGTGCTGGGTACCATGGCCTGAGGTGTGGCGGTTTGGGCCCTGTAATGTATTGCTTATGTGAGAAACATCCTTCATTTTTACTACCACTACCCTCTCTGCTCCTCTAGGCTCTTTTGCTAAAAACACAAAATTATTGTCCCAACCACCATGCTTCAATTTCTACCAAACAATGTTTCTTCCCCCCTGGGAGAGAGGAGTTTTCTATCACTGATTAGAGATCCTGTTGCTATTCCTTGAAGGGGGATATGCTACTCCCAAGTTCTGACCAACCACTCAGGGTAAGTGGACCAAAAGGGGAGGGTATGGGTTCTGTTTTAGTTCTACTGCAGCTGCTTGTGACCGTGACTTTGAACAAGTCTTTTCCCCTCTAGTTTTTTCACCTTCTACAATGAGGAGTTCAGATTAGACATTAGATGATTTCCTGGGTCCTTAACATCCACAACTACTCTAGTGCAGGAAGTCTAAAAAATAGGAAGCAATCCCTCCCCTCAAGCAGTTTGTCTTCAAAACAGGTAAATATTATAGCAGGGCTTGTAAAATTTCATTACGTGTCTTATTTTCCTAATGGCTTCTGATAAAACATTGAGAATTGTGGGTTGGATAGTGTCTCCCTAAAATTGAAATCTATCCGGAGCTTCAGAATGTGACCTTATTTGGAAATAGGGTCTTTTCAGATAAAAATAAGGTAAGGATCAAGATGAGATCATACCAGGTTAGGGTAGGCCCT